GGGGTGGCGTGGTGGGGGTTGACGGGGGTGGCAGGGTAGGAGGTAGCGGGTGGTAGGGATTGGGGCATGGGGGTGGCGGGGGTGAGGGATGGGGCCGAAGGCAGGGAGTGAGTAGGAATTTTCCTTTGAAAACAAACGGAAATTATTTTCCCCATTATGGGAAAAAATATTTTCCTAGGAATATATTTTTCTACCACTTCCACTTATGTTACCAAACAAGGAAAAATAGAATCAAAATTTTCCAAAAAAAATCCCCCCCCCCAAACCAAACAGACCCTAAGACTTACCGGAAAAATAAGATCCTGTGAGCATCCATGTAATTGACAATCAAAGACCTAGAGTCAAAGGGAAAATATAAATTGAATTTGGGATAAAATATAAAACTTGAAATAACCAAAATCAGTCATTGTACACTAGAACATGGTCATGTTGTGCAAGTCGATTTCACAATATCAATTTTGCAATGAGGCATAGACTATAGCTAATATCTAAACTCATTGTCATTCTCATCATATTTTTCATGCAACAAACCAAGTATAATTGTACCTCTGTTGGGTCTACGGGATCAAGATGTAAGGAGTCTTACTCTAAAATCCAAGAGGATCGTAATTTTCATGCAAGTAAAAAAATCAAAGATGATGACGATTTAGGACCCAAAACCAAACAGTAAATTGACAAGAACTTGGCAATATATCATTCCAACCTTCCAATTCATACTTTTCACAATGCAAGTTAAGTATCAACTATTGTTTCTTACAAAACATCGCCTGCAATATAGATTGTCTAATGACGCCAGAGCTGCTTCAAGATCATTGTCCAGATATGAATTCAGGGTAACTTCAGAGTTTTTATTCTTAGAAGTAGCTTCTTCTTTGAATAGGTATTCATATCTTGCCTGTATATAATGTTTGATATGGATTATATTCGTAAAAGTCAGCAAATGATACAGAGTATATGAAAAACAACTGGACTAAACAAAATAAAAATAAAAAAGTTTATACCTTTACTTCACTGGGTTTTCTAGACAAGTGATCGGCAAGGAAATGCAACACAGTATCAGACAATCCAGCCTCTTCAATAGTCATTCTAGAGAATAAAAAAGATAAAATCAAGAGATTCAATTAAGAAAATGTTTGATCTCTAATACATGGTTTTGCATGTCTAATCCTAGCACAGATAATTCAACACCATATTAGACACTTCAACCTTTTAAATAAAGCATGTTTAAAATTTTGTTCAAGTACAGAAGAATGTTGTTGTTTCTCATGCGGAGAAAGTTCCCATATATCATACTTTGTGTTACAAGCGTACCACACAAAGTGATTTTTGAGGAAGAAACAAATATGATATCAAGTGGAAAGATATATCAGCAGCATTTCAAGAACATTATGGAACAAACCGCAAAATATAATCTTCACAGTCCAAAAAGTCCTTTTCTTCTTTCTTCTCATTTCTTTCTTCATCACTGTCACTGCATATTAAAGCTTCACCATCATTCTGGTCATAATAAATTCTTCTACGACCTACCACTGATTGATCCTCAGCCATCTTTTGGTTTCTGTAACATTTCCAGTAGAAGTAGAATTATTTCTTCCCCAAAGTCCAAAGCACGAGCAATTATATGGATAATATGGAGTAACAAATACAATTCATGTTGAAAGAAGGATATGCCCACCAGCTCAAGCTAATAATGTGATAAACTAAGGGCGTAAATTTCCAAGCTAGGTTTGATTGGCATTGCATCTTGCTCCATTCTCTCATTTACAATTTATTACAATATTTAATATAGTTGAACCATAGTTATTATGTATTTACTATAGTAGAAAAGTATAAATAAAAGTATTGAATATATATGAGAATTTAATTAACCAGAAAGGTGTCTAAAAACTAACCAGTTATGGGCTTGACAAACATATTAGTATCATAGAGTTACAGAGAGTAACATACAAGGTTTTCTCATGCAAACAAGCCTGATAATAAATACTGAATGAATGACTTAACACTATGCTACATCCAAAGTTTTTTCAAAATGTGTCTTTGCAACTTGTGAGTATCAAGTTGAGCTAACTGCATTTAAGTTATAGGTGTCCAGAGGAAGACACTAGAAGCATTCCCATTACACACCTATGCAGAAAACCCCATGTTGTGTATTGAGGTAGTTTTTCCATTTTTGGTAGTTTAATGGGGCGATCAAATTTCTTGGTTGTAGTGCTAAACCCTTGACCTCCGAGAAGAACTGCAGAAGCAGAAGCATCGTCCTGAGAGCTAGTAGTTTTATTTCCATTGCTAGTGCAAATGCTATTCTGCAAATCAATAGCATCTTTCTTCCTCTTTGACAACATATCAATTCCATCACAAGCAAGAATCTGAAGATTTCTCCTTTCTGTTGACAATTTGTGAAGACCTCTAGTTACAGTAGCCAAGTCATGCACATTGTCCTCAATCTTTTTCTGATAGAACGACGTAAACAATAACTTGTTACAGCATTGTACTAGGTTAACCAGCAACCACAAGCACTAAGAAAATTGAAAATGCACCTTAATATAAAAATTTCGTTCCAGCACAAACTTTTCCTTTAAAGAATCAATTATAGATGTTACTTCAGTGGGTGCAAGACACGTTTCTTGGGGGGCCAAAGTCTGCACAATGAAACATAAGCATAAGTCAAGTGTTCAAGTCAAGAGAAGCAAACTATAATTGCAGAATGACATATTAAAAAACAATACACAAGAAACATTTTTGGGATGGAAGTCTTTACTGCAAAAAAGAAAAAAGTAACAATGCAATAATGGGATATGGGAAAAGAATGTACTGAAGTGACAAGTTTCAGAACCTAGCTGACTACAACTGCCAATGCATCAATTGTATCCTCCTTACATTGCATGATTGAAGACTGGGGAAGTACAAGAACAATGCAACTTGTAAATGATTTCAAACTAAAGTGGATAGGAAAAATATATTACTTTAATTCTTTTTTTTTTCTCTTTGAAAAGTACTTTAATTCTTTTTAAAAAAGATAATATGCAAATTTGATTTCTCAATCCCTCATCTTATCATTTCAAGAGCAAATACTCTGTATCAATTGGATTGTGAGTGGCCTAAAAGTAAAAACTTGGTTCATGATTCCGTTCCGGCTCATTTCTTTCTAAACATCAACATTCAAAAAGTAAAGAGCAGACAAAATAAAATAATTAATGGAGGGCCAATGGAAAGTCCATCTGGGGTAAGGAAAAACCTTCATCTTAGACATGCTATTGATGAAGCATGTGCTAAGGTATTAAGTTCAATCTGAGTCCAATGCTTGTAATATAGATCAAAGTTTAAGTTGCAGCCTAATAAAGAGTTTCTGAAAATTTTAAACAAGACGATCAGATCTGAAAACCTACTATTGGTATGGCAGGGTCAGAAAGTGAGGATGAAGAAGGACAATCTGTACTTTCTATTCTTGTATTTATTTTCTATATAGAAATTAGACATATTAGACAACTTAATTACTCTTCCAAATTGAAAAGGAAATAAAGCAAAACTGCTTAATGTACCATTTAGGTAATAATTTTAAAGTGGGAAATGTACCTCATGAAAGATTTTTTGGAATATGTTTATTTATAAGGGAAACACTCATTAAAACGGAAAGAATATTGTACATCGCAAAACACAATGCTAGCAATTTAAGCATGAGCCAAACAATGAATATTTTACATTTATTTGGTAGTTTGTTTATTGAACTATAATACGTCATTTCAAATTGTTTCACATTTATACTCCGCGTATTTTTTAGATTTTATTTCCTTTTGTTTTGTGGTATTGAACAAACCAAAAATTTTTTATTGGGTTTATTGTTGTGTTTTTTTAGAATATATTCTTTGCATAGAAAAGGAGAAACAAAACGACGTACAAACAAAAATATATATATATATATATATATATATATATATATATATATATATAAGGATGGATAAATAAACATTTAGTCATAAATAAGCAAATAAATAAATATATAACTTATAAGAATTTAAGAAAAAGGTCATCTACTACTACTACCTTTTTTATTCCTAAAGTTAATCAACATACATGAAAGGAATGTTTTAACGGCCAGTGATAAGATCAACTATGTTATACGGGGCAAAGTATTGGGCAGCAAAGAAAACTCACATCTGTTAGCTTCAAGTAGCTGAGATGAGGATGTTGTGGTAGAAGTGTGCTCAAACGAGGAGGGATAAGATCTGGAACAAGGTTATTTGAGGAAGAATGGGAGTAGTACCTATTGAGGATAAAGTTCAAGAAATTAGGCTAAAGTGGTTTGGGCACGTACGGAGGAAAAGTGCAAAGACCCAGTAATGGTATGCGATAAGATTGCAGTGGTGGGCGTGAGAAGGGGTAGAGGTAGAACTAGGAAGAGTTGTAAGGAGGTGATTAGACAGGACTCACGATTTCAAGATCTTAGAGAGGATATGGCCTTCAAGAGGAATGTTGGGAGTTCTTGGATTAGAGTAGCTAGGTAGACCTTTGAGCCTTAGTGTGAAGTTTATGCTGGTGAGTTTTTATGCCACAGTTTGAAGTTTATGTTGGTGTGTTTTTTATGCCTTAGTTTGAAGCTTGTGCATGTGTGCTTTCTGTGCTTTGGGTCTATGTTGCTAGTCTTGGGATGTGTGATTCTTTTATATGTGCTCTTACTTTGTTCGTGTTACTTTATTTGCTTTGTTTGTCTGTCCTTCTGTGATTGAGGTGAGGTCTCGTGGAAACAACCTCTCTACTAGGGTCTAGGAAGTAGGGCAAGGTCTACTACATATACACACCCTCCATAGACCCTACTTTTGTGAGATTTTACTGGTTTTGTTGTTTTTTCTTGATGATAATGCTTCTTCATTGTGTTGGATAACTTCCTTTTCAACAAGAGTTTTATCCTCCCTCCGCCCCTAAATAAGTCTTGAAGGGACGAGGTAAAAATCTGTTTTTTTTAATTCATTATATTTGAAAATTGGTGTAGAATTTAAAAAATTTACATACTTATAAACTAGTCTGTACATCAAACTTCTTTAAAACAAGAGCTGAGATGACTATTTTATTTTATCATATGATCAATGAAAATGCATAAACAAACAAAAGTTATCGTGACCCTAGAATAGTAACTAGGACTTTTATTGAGGGATGGAGGCGAAGGGAGTATGTTTCATGTGTTTTCAATTACGTCACTCGTGGTAAGCTGTTTACAAAAATGAAGTGATAACAAGGGCGAGATATTAAGATTTTTCATTCAAGGTATGCATATTTTCCCTTAAAATCATGAACATCAGGCTCAAAGTAATGACAATAAAAATGTAACTTTCTGGTTACATAATCATTCGTAGCAAGAAATGCTTTTCTATCAAAAATAGGAAACTTTCAAAGTGCTCTGGTCTTGATTGAAAATTAGCAAGAGCCCTCCATATATTATGTAAAACCATACTAATAAATGATCAAATGAAAATTTCCTAATTTTCCATCAATCCCATCTTAGACATCTAGTCTTGAAAATGATGAATGTGTTGGAATACATCTAGTCTACAGTCATTACCTCTAAAAATAGCGAAAAATGTCTTGTTAACTAAGACCTTTAAATTTTGGTAAGGTACACTTTACCCCTCCCCCCCCCCACCCCACAAAATTGGTAACGTACAAATCTTCTAAGTCATCAATCCTACTTATAGTTTCCAAAATTCTGTTCTTTGACTAAACATGTTACTCCTTCCATCCCATAATCATGGAAACATGTTCTTTCTTATTTGGATTGTCCCAGAATTTTCTTCCTATTTTCTTTTAAGTTTATTAAAAATCGTGTCAAGTCAAACTCGGAAGATAATTTAGGGACGGAGTGAGTATGTTTTACTAGCTCGCATCAGATTTTTTTTAAAACACAAGCATGAATTTGGGGAACCAATAAGAACATAGAAATTCTTCAAAACCGCGTATCTGAAAAAACAAAATGGAGTGGTAAAGAGTAACGCTTAGGTCTAAAATTAACACATTACCTTAGCATTATTGGGGTGCGCGGATCGGAACCATAGAATGAAGCCTTAGACGCCGACTTCTCCGGCGTCCAATACTGTTCGCCGATGGATTCATGATAATGAATCTAAGCAAATAGACAATTCTAAAATGGAATTTGATGGTGAAGGTCGCAAAGACTGCGCGGTTTGCAACCATCGAATGAAGTAGGCAGTTAGATTCATTCTCATGAAGCTCACATTGATCAGAAAACTATTTAAAAAATAAAACATTAAAATAATACTAATAATCAAAATAATACTCCGTAATAATTATTAGCATTAATTAATAATAATAGTGAAATTTGTCCTGAATAGGATTAAAACATAACTCATTTCACAATATAGGACTTAAGCTTTTTTATTCTCTAAATAGAACTTAATAGTGACTAGTGAGAAAATAATGTCCAAGTGATGCTGAACATTTAGTTGAATAATGACTAATAGATAATGACCAATGGTCCTACATTGGGAAATAAAAACACATGGTCATATATTGAGAAAGTCATTATGTTTTAGTCCTATTTAGGTAAATTACTCATAATAATAATGATGTTAATAATTATTAATACTTATTAATAATAATAATTAAATCCAAAAATATAATAATGATAATTATTTTTAATGAATAATAATTAATAATAATGATAATAACGGTTCATAATAATATTTATTTGTAAATATAATAATAATTGATAATTTTCCTCATTAGTCAAAACACTTAATATTAATAATAATAATAATAATAACAATAATTATTTATAATAGTAATTAAAATAATACAGAGTAATAATTAATAATTACAATAGTAATTACTAATAATAAAAATTATAATTTTAATATTGCTAATAAAAATTACAACAATAATTACTTCACTTAATATTGAAAATAATTATTAATTTTATTGTTAGAATAATACTCCACCCGTCCCAAAAAAACTTTTCATGTTTTGATTTCTTTGGTCAAATCATGACACTCTTTGATTATAAATTATGAAAAATATATATTTAATTTTAATATATTTTAATATAATTGGCTTCATCTTAAATCATAATTTTGAATAATCAATATTTATCACATTTATTTATTCAAATTGTATTTAATTTACTATCAAAGAATGTCATTGTTTGACCAAAAAAGTCAAAATAGCTATTTAGTTTAACAGGTTGGACCAGCTGGTTGTGCTGCTTAATCATTAAAAATGTTTGGTGAAATGAATTATTTGAAAATAGCTGCTTTGAGATTTAAAAATTATATATATGTGTGTGTGTGTGTGTGTATATATATATATATATACTCCCTCCGTCCCACTGTCTTTGTCCACTTACCCTTTTGGCACATCATCCAATGCACTTCTTTAATCCATTTTATCTTGTAATTTGTATATTAAAAAATTATAAAAATTATATATTAATAATCTATATGTTAAGACGAATCAAACAAGATCACACATGAGCTTTGTAGTGTAGTGTGGTGAGCTTTGCGTCATCTGACCGAAGCATGTTATCACACCATAAGGTGTCATCTCACTGGAGTCAATCCCATATATATATATATATATATATATATATATATATATATATATATATATATATATATATATATATATAATATATACACACACACACACATATATACACACACATACACACACACACACACATATAGACACACACACATGCAAATTATATACACACATATTTGTAAAAATAAAATATTTGTTTTTTATTTTTAATTTCTACATGTAAAAATTAAATTTTTAATATACGGAGAATTTAATTACACATTTTTAATGATATTGACTTTTGATTTTTCATTTCATTTATTTATTCTATTTACTTTTTATTTTTAATTTTTTTAACTTTTTTTAATTCCTTTTACATATATTGTTAAATTTCTTTCAAGAAAAATGATAAAAAAAAATATTTTTTCTAACAGCCAAGTCCGAAAGCTACTTTCCTTTCCTTGGCGCAGCGCTTGCTGCTGGAGCAGCACCCCGCAGGTCGTGAAACCCGACGGATTTGGACGGGCGGCCGTTCATTGCAACGGGCCGCCACGCCGGTCCGAATTTAATTTATTTTTTTAATTTGTCAACTCTATAAATTTAACATGTCTTCCACTTCAATTCTTTTGAATATTTTTTTAATTTTATTTTTAAATTTTAATTTTATAAATGCAACAGGTCTTTGTATTTTTTTAAATTTTAATTTTATTCCAGTGTGTTTGATTTTTATTTCGACATTGTTTTAAATAAAGAGTGTCATTGTTCGCATTCTTATTTTAATTATGTGTGTTTTGTTTTTTAAAATAATTTTGAATTAGAAATGATGAATACAGAGTAATATTAAAGAAACCGAGAGGCAAATTTTTGAAGGCAAAAGCATTACAGAATTTCGGGAAGAGATTGAAAATTAATGAAATGTTGATGTAGCAAGCAATGAGGAGAGACGAGATTCCCTCACATTGTAAATGCTCTAAGTACTTCATTGACTTTGACCTTGTAATTAAATACGGAGTACTCTATATGAATGAATGAACCAAAAAGATTTTGGATGGACTAAAATCAAATTTATAATTTTTACAAGGACAAAAATAAATATTAAAAATGAGGATGACTATTTGTTAAAATAATAACTTTACAAGGATGATTTAATTAAAAACGTTTTGGATGCATCAAAAGTAAAACTCGTTAATTTTATAGGGACAACAAACATATTTAACCTTAATACAAATAAGAGATGTGTGTATACTTCCACCATCTCTAAAAACAAATTACATTTCCTTTAAAGGTTATTTCAATATAAACATAACATTTTTCTAGTTTTCTATCAAAGAAAAAATATGAATTTCTCTCTTAGCTTGAATTGTAGAAAACACACTTCTCAAGGTTCATGAGAATGTTCATCCAGGTTCAAATCTCAACAGAAGCATTGACTTATTGTACGTCATATTAAAAAAACATCTCATCACCATTTTTAATTCTCGACTTCATGCTTGCATACAACAAGAACAGCAACAACAAGAATAATAAAGTCTTATCTCATTAGGTAGGGTCGGCTACATAGATCAAACAACGTCATTGTACCACATCTAGTCACATGTCTATTCAGCATTTGATCAACATTTCTCACTGGTTGCTCTATTAGTCTTGTCTTCACATGTCCAAACAACCTAAGATATGTTTCCATCATCTTTTCTACAATAGGTGTCACTCCAACTTTAATTCTCATATCCTCATCCCTTATTCTATACAATAGGTGCCACTTCATCTTTTTCATAATAAGTGTCACTCTAACTTTAGTTCTCATATCTTCTTCATATTTACTTGCATACCTTGTGAAAAAATCTCATTGAAAAGTTCCATTTTTTAACCCCCCATATCACAAATTTTCTGGATCATCCAACAACCAAAAAACATGAGAACATGGTGAAGGATCATCGCCTCCTCATTTATTAACAAGCAATAAAGATACTTTACAAAATATTATATGAGAAAGAACATAAAAAGGGAACACAAAATTTACCCACTACAGGAGAGATAGGAGTGAAGTGGAAACAAAATGCTCTCCAAAGATTCATCATGATGAGATGGTCTTTTTGCAGCTTAACAGCTTTTTCAACAATCCTCCATTCTTTTTCTTACCACGAACAATAGCTATGGAATCGACACTGTCTTTTTCTTCAATTGTGTTGCCATGATCTTTGTCTTCAACTATGTTTCTGTTCCCATTTGGAGATCTAACATCTTCTGGACGCGGTTCTACGGCCTTGTTATGGGCACCCAAAGCAGAATGGCTATTTCCGTTCAGAATGAGTTCCTTGGTTTTAGGAGACTTGCAACATTGACCGTCATTGTCCTCATCTAGCATTATGTCAAGCAGAGATGAACGATGCCCAAGGTTCTTCTTAGGGGTAGACATGGAATTATCAAAAATGGCTGCATCCTTTGGCGAAGCCAATGCCTTCAACTGCTTTCCCAGGTTTAATATAGTTTCCTGACATTCGGCCAACTTTTCTGAAGCTGCTGTGATTTCCCAGTCCTACCAAGTTAAACCAATAGCTGGCCATTCATATATAATTTTCAAGACATAAATGCATAAAAACAATTAAAATATATTTTCTTGATAAATAAAGGAAATGATTGGAAATAAAGGTAATAGTGTCGTTTTCCTCTGTTTCAACAAAATTTATTAGAAAAAGTACACCCAGCATTACTTCTACAATATCAACCAACTAAAAAACACAGACAAATAGGTTGGCGTTTGTTATTTAAAACATTTAAACCACTGGGTAGTTTGATAAGAGTAATATAAACAAAAATATGGTGCCACCTCCAATCCATGAAAGGATAAAAATGAAATTTCTAAAATGAAATTGCAGGAAAGCGCACATTTTTGCACATACTCAGTGCATGCACATTATAAATTTTTTATTTGTAAATTTACGAGTTACACAATGCTCACACCATGAATGGGAAAGTAGGTATGACAGGATGTAAACCTTGTATGGTATAATTTGCCTATCGGGTAGTAACAAACAATTGGACTCTCAGTGGCTTCTCTAGCATTGGAACTTGAATTCATTAGGACAGTTAAGGAACTTACATTTTGTATTAGCCTTTCTTCATTGTCCACATCATCCTGAGAAATTCCTTTATCTGAGATGCTGAAAATAAGAAATGGTTTTAAAAAAAATGAAAACCATTTGAGAATAAATAATAGCGTTCAAGTTTAATATTACGAAAAGGCATACCTTTCACATAACTGAAGTTTATCATGTGCGACAGGAACAGACTCTTCATGTGTTCTATCTGTTTCCTTTTCTAGAAGAGAATACTTCTGGCAAGCTTCATTTAACTTAAGTTTGGTTGCTTCAATCTGCATCTCAAGGCCTTCTTTAATAATCTTGTGTCTTTCATCTCGATCCTCAATTATCATCGACTTTAAACCTTTAAGATTTTCCACTTCCATTTTCAGGCTGTTGATTGTGCTTTCTGATTCTTGGATCTCCACCGTCAATGGTTCAGCCTCACCATTCTTTGTTTGGAGCTCCCTTCCCAAATCTTCCTCTTTCATGTTCTCAGCAGTTGCATTTGCATATTCACCCTTATATATTTTGCCTCCATCATTTACAA